CTTCAGGTGGAACCGTCACAGCCCGACAGCTGTATCAAGTAAATGAGAGATTACAAGAGATACCACTCCGTATATATAATGGTTGAGGGGGGGGGGGGGAAGGGCCAGGAACGGCACACTTTTTTATTATTATGGTAAGGTGCGGCTTGAGACTATGAATAGACTGCATAACGCATTCTCTGTTAGGTCTTCCTCTCTTCCCTGTTCCTTCCATTGTTTTCCGAACAACGCGCATACAAACAGCACAACCCTCGTGCTCTTACTTTTACTCTCATCACTTTGCAACGTCGTAGCAAAAAAAAAATACAAATAGCGATGCCTCGAGATGAGCAGATGTGCTCAGAGATATCAAAGCATCGATGTTCCACTGCTGAGATCCTGGGTTTGAACCTGAGGTTCTGCCACCCGTGATTCAACCAAGTTCTCAAATTTCACGGAGTTGATGGAGTAATCCCAGTCATGGATGACTAAATAGCTACAAATACCTCTGATAGCAGGACATGTGTTCAAGTGTCCCCCATGTGCTGTGGATAAAAGGATCATTGGAAGGATCTCAGAAGAAGTGATGTGAAAATCCGTGGGTCATACTTCAATATCAGGGTGGCAATGCTCTGAGGATTCTGAATGGATTCTGCATCTCATTACAATATCACAATTCGATTAAAACTGGGACGCAATGAATGAAAATTTACTCTGATTAGGGAACAAAAAATGATGTATTGAGATATAAGTCGATGGTTGTTTTGATGCATGTGACGGGCATGAGCCATTTGCACACAGAAACGTGTATCTATCTTAGGTAACAACATTGTTGAAATTAAAGCTATGGAAGGATGTCTAGCCAGTGTAGAAAAGTAGATTTGATAGCCCTCTAGAGGCTCCCTCTGTAGTGGAGGCCCGTCCACCCACGATGGTGTGAGCAAGCAATTGCAGGGCCGCGCCTTTACCTTCTTTTATAGCTGCTGTAGCATCTGATGCAATGGGACATTACGTGGAACGGCTCCAGCCAGCTCGTGATAGGCTTTTCAACTAAGATTAAAATGATTCATGTATTAGCTCTCTCCATCTGTCTCTGACTCTCATAAAGTTGATCCAAAATAAGTTCAACTTTAGTATGAGGTCGCGTCTCTCTTATGAATATACTCCATGGAGAAACCGGACAAATTGAGCGACGTGTTGCCAAACAACAAAAAATAAATGCGTTCAAGGAATTAACAAAAGCGGTTATCGCCGCATGACGCTAGAGGGCGAGACTGAGACAGTTTTACAACAAACTTGAGAGTGTTGTGTGATCAGTGCGTATTCGTAATGGACTAGACTCGTAGCGTGTGCGATTATACGTTTTTATACTTAACACATGACTAGTTGTAAGTGTATGCCGAAGTACAACAAGTAATTTATTTAGCAAACTTTAATTTTATTCTTCCCAGGGTACCATGAAACAAGGAATTTGATTGCTTTCGTTATTATCGTAGAATAACCGCGCAGGTTGAGTGTATAAAAGAGCGCGTTTGCTTATAATTGCCCTTAATTGCATTTGGGGGAAAAGTATTAAAGACACAAGCAGCATTAGAATGCTGCTCAAATAATGTACGAACATTATTTTTCAGTCCTTTGCCAACAATCCAGCGCTTGGACGGAGGACCCTCCGCGTGGGTTGTTTGACCAGACAATCACTTCGGTGGTCACGGTAGGGGTTGGTGACCTGAACTCAGGTCGCTTGGGTATGTAAGGACTCATCGATGGGACCTTTTTGCCAGTATCAATGCGTATATTCTTTCGGTAAAGTCACGTAGAAGGAAAATAATACAAATAAAACAATAAAATAAGATAATTCTCACGACGTTTCGGCCACAACGGAAGCAGCCGTCCTCAGGTGAGGACGAAACGTCGTGAGAATCATCTTATTTTAGTATGTTTTATTTTTATTATTGTATTATTTTCTTTCTACGTGACTTTATCGAAAGAACCAAGAAGATGAATCCCTGCAGTCACGAAAGCTTTAAATCGAAATTTAATGCGTATATTATCAGAACATGTTTGTTTGAATTTTTTGCCACAGGTTTGTGTGATTAAACCAGACTTGATGCCCTGAAATAGGTATAAATTAGGTGTTTGAACATATTAACATCTGTTTTTTTTTAATTGCCAGAAAGGGTAAAGCCAATTTTTTTGAAAATCAACGACTCATTGCGTCATCTATCGAACCGGTTGTTTCGATCACATTACTGTACGCGTGAAAATCACGGGCGAGAGAGCAATCGTTAATGTACAATGTGTGCGCATTATTCGCAAATCATATCCTGATGGAGCAAACAAAACTATCCAACGAAGTGAAACCGTAGAAACAATACAAGCTTCATGTTAACGTTCTAGACCAGGGGTCGGCAACCAAAATAACAAGAAGAGCCATTTCTTTCCAATTCGGTACAAAATTCAGTATTTCAAGAGCCGCAATGCATCTGAGTACATACTGTACATACGTACATATCGTCAAGAAGCAGCCCGTAAAGAGCCGCATGCGGCTCCGGAGCCGTAGGTTGCCGACCCCTGTTCTAGACGAAACAGAATTACATCTTAAGCGAATTCAACTCTGCGGTGACCTTTTGAAAGTTGGGGTTCATATAAAAAAACTCAGCAATGGGGGGGGGGGGGGGGGGGGTACAACATTAAACAAACTGAAGCCTTGACGATAAGAGTTTGGAAAGAGGGGGGAAGGAGTTGAACTCACAGTACCCCCCTTCAGCCCTTCCCCCAATGATTCAATTAAATTGCCACCGTGATCGTGAAAATGCATCAAAACGCTGGCGGGGATGGGGTGGTGGGCATCAGTAGTTACCTACCTCGCCTGGTATACAGGAGGTCGTGGGTTCAATCGTTAACCTGACGCTGCCTCCTGTATGTTTGGAGTTTGTGTCTCTCTCTCCACCGTGGTCACGTGTTCTGTTTTTTTTGTTCCTCCACATTTAGAATCACCATGCGTTTAAAGTATTTGCGCTGCTATACATTTCTACATGATAAACCACTTCGTTGAGCTATCATTTGTGGCCTGATCGCTACTGAAACAGAACTGCATAGCTCAGAGGACCTTACCTGGGAAAAATATAATATAATAGTCGTAGTACACACGTATTGCGAGCCCAAATTCAATTTTTAGGCGCAATCTCCAAAACACGAAATGGCGCGTACAATGTGTACCGAAACGCATTTTTTGCCACGACTGGCACTGCCCACTGCACGAGTGTGCCTTCATCACTCGGGGACTTTAGGAATGCCATCTCTCTTGCACTTAAACACAGAACGTTTTGCTCGACTGTACGTAAACCATTGTGTGCCGCTGTTGTGCGAGGACGGGTTAACTGGCCCTCGAGGGCAATGTTTTTGCTTGCAAGAGACACCAAACATTCCTTTAAACCAGCTTTCATCTTGACAATCATCGTAGCCTTTTTTGTCATAAATAGCGAACAAGAATAAAGCATTACATGTCTTCCACACCCTTCCCCCCCCCCCACTACCAATTTTCATTTAATCAGCAGTACATACTATATTTATAATTTCTCTTTACGTTTATTCGTTTTGTTATTTATTTATTTAACCTCATGTACCATTCTTTAGCGATTTATATATTACCTTGAATGAAACTAATTATAGTCCTGAGTGGGTTGAGACTGGGTTTAAGTGATATTACATGCTAATATTATTTGACTGCCTTCCAAACGGATTACTCAGTCTGTAAGGGTGAGTCAATACATTCGAACATGCGATTTTTTTTTAAACCCTCATCATTCTCAGGCCCCAATTCCACAAACTCAATTTTGGCTCAATACCTCTTACTCAGTTCAACGTTTACAAGCGTCATATTCTTCATGTGTGTGTGTGTCAGCGTGCTTGCCTGTGCATATGGGAGCGGTATTGCAGTGGTGAGCGCACTGCGTTATGAACCAAGCGACCCGAGTTCGATTCCTGCCTAAGGCCACCAACACCAGCGACGATTATCTGAACATGTGCTGGGCCTCCCCTAGAACAAATAGGCCTCAAATGAGTGCCTGGCGCGATGTGTAAACATTGCCACGAGGGAGACAAATGCGGCCGGGCGTAGTGCTGTGCCGGCCTTCATAGGTGCTTGCTAACAGCACTTGCCTCAATAGCCTGTTAAGGTTATGCGGGGAGGGGGGGGTTGTCGTTGAGTGTGCACAGAGTGAGTTGTAGAAGATAGTTTTGGTCGCTCTTAAAGTTCGGGAAACTGTTGTGGTGTGATGTTTTATTTTTAAAAAACTTTGGGTGAATTTATTCCAAATTCTCCATATTCTGAAAGCTGTGGTTTCAAATCACCAGCTCATATTGTCTTGCACTCTATTTCGTCATCATTATCATCAGCAGCCACTGAATGAAGGTCTCCCCACACAGTCGCCATACCTTAAAGTCCTGCAATGCTACACTCCATCTCACTCCTGCGTGTAAGCTGATATACATCTCCGAGGCAGTAATCCTTGTGGGCACGCTCCCTCCTTTGTTTGTTATTCTGTCACCAGTCTTGCCCATCAGCCATCATCTTTATCGCGATATGCCTTGCCCAAGGCCCCATACTGGTTACGAACATTCCATTGTGCTTTTTAACGTACACTTTACAATGTTTACTCCCGCCGAAACAACTCAAAATATGACACGGATTAGCATTTTAAGCAGCCGTCATTGAGCAACATTTAATGAAAAATATATAGTTTTTGGGGTTGTCCAGCTATCAGTCGTATGCACAGAGGCACTAAAGTACGGAAATCTATTGGCAGACATCATGGGAGATTTCTCAGATGGATCAAAACCCAGGACCTCTACCAACCACAGAGCATCTCGCTATCTACTCATGTGTGCGTGGTTTCATGTGAATCCTTTTTTGAATAGAGTGATGTATGGCGCTATAAAAGTATGCGTGTGTGCGCTTTGGCATGCGCGTGTGCGTGTGTGCCTGCATGCACGTGGGTGTTTGTGGTCCATGCTAACAGGCCAGTGGCTGCTCATCGGACCCACTTTCCGAGCCCACAGACACGACTCGTCTCAAGGTGAGGCGTCCATCACGAGCCTGTGGAACGAACAAGATTCTGTAACTACGGTAACAACGCCTGTGTTTTGTAGGGGTCTTTTTCTTTTGTATCCGTGGGATATTTGTAAATACGCCCACACGTGAAGCGAGTTCATTTTTGACCTTGAGGATCTTGTGCAGCCGTACTTGAATGTCATTGTGGTGAACCCGAACATCAAAATCGCAATTTAAAATTAACTTAGTACCCGATTGTGGACTCGGGAGATGTCACTCAATTGAGCCCGAGACGCACACAGTGACACCCAGAGCCTTGGAAGAGTAAAGGTGATTGGGTGCGGTCTCATGATACTGTGAGTGCATCAACACCACCCCCCAAAAAAAGAAACGACCTTGCGCTCGGTGCTTGCAATTATATTTACCCATACAAATGATGAAACATGCTGAACATGCCGGTTCTATAATTCTACTCGGCAGTTAAAGCAGTCGACATTCTGTATGCCTGAACTTTTAATGGCACCTTTAAAAAATTGCCTTTCGAGAACGTTCTTAGCATTATAATAAGGCAGGATGGTAAGCAATCGTTACACAATCACTCAGTTTAACACGCAGGCTTTCGTGACCAACATTATCCGTGATGTTTTTTTGGGGTTAGATCGCATCAATCTAAATGTGTCGTTAAACTCACCACCACACGACACAGCCAATGATTAAGGTTTGTCACGTCAACAAAATGCGCCAATTTGTTACTTCTTAAACACATTTACAATTTCAGTACGACGTTTCACTGGTGATTACAACCAGCTTCATCAGGCGATAGCCATAATTGTGAAGAAGTCTTCCTGTTTCGGTCTTAAACAGAGTAAAGGTGATATCTTCACATAAACATATCAGGTGCAAATACCAGATCATGTTAATCTGAGAATATGTAGTATCTATTATTGGTTGGGTTATTCACAGTTAATCAACATACATAATGTGTGTACATTGTTGATCTGAGAATAAGCAGGTAATATGCAGTACCTGTGGTTGGCTGCTCACAGCCAATCATCACTGCTTTTGCTATTAACTGTCCCCTGAGATAGATTAGCTCATTAATTCTAAAACACTCAAAAAAACATTTGGTCATACAACTCAAGCAGAACCTTACGAGAGAAAAACGAAATCTCTATTGCTCAGTCCGACTTTTACGGGTAAGTATTTGAACTTCCTGCATAACGAGGGACAGCGATATAATTGTGTAAATACACGTGCTTTGTACAAGGTGAGATATTCACTGGTGTTTGCAAGGTCCATCCATGGGTAAATTATTTTAATGAATCTGTGCATAACAAATAAATGTGACCCGGTAACACTCAAATTGTACGTAGGTGAATAATGACCACTGGCTGAGCCAGTGGGGGGGGGGGGGGGGCACGTGTCCCCCCAGTGCGAGATGATAGGACAATAGTCTGAGTCCATTATTGGCAATAAGTAACGGCAAAGCGGTTATAAGGGACTCAGAATTGTGCGCAGTTGCGTACACAGCACACGACTTCAGCGAGCGCGATGCCGATCACACGACGCGGTTCGAATTCGACCCTTGATCGATGGCTGTGCCATTGCCGCACACGCGTCGAATAAAAAGCAAAGGACAAGTCCTTACTTACTAATAACTCCTCTATCATTTTTCATTGCTGGAGGGGTTGCCCCCCTACCTGAAAATCCTGGCTCCGCCATTGATAACGACCACTATATTTGGGGGAGGGGCAGGGGTTCACTTTGTCCCTCACATTAGGAATTGCGGGTGCATATAATAATACATTAAACAATTCTTTATTGTAAACTATTGAAAATAAATTAATAAGTGTGCCCGGTTGGTGGGGGGCATTGCCCCCCCCCCCCTCAGGGCCGACCCCCCCCCAAACTCCATCCATGCGTACGCGCTGGAGTCCCAAGCAAAGCCCCCACCTTTCTATTTCTAGTTCCGAGTGAGACGACAGAAGTGATATTGAGTTGATTTTATTTGTTACGCAGATGATCCCATTTAGCCAGTTTTCTGGCTCTTTAACATGGGAGACCCGTGGTGTTGTAAGCACAGCAGCAGCAGCAAGACAAAAAGGTCAATATTGCAGAGAACGATTACAAAGTCCTTGAGGGATATGGCACAAGAAAGGAGGTATTTAAAGGTCGTAAACAAGACGCACGCGAGTTAAAAGCCAGGGCGAATGTAATATGCGCAAGAGGCGCCAGAATCAGTGAGGTACAGGCGCAAGTAAGCTCTTTGTTTTGGTTTAATAGAAAATAAGATTGTGGGGGGGGGGGGGGAGAAGAGAGGAAACCAAGCTGCAGATGAGTGGCCCTTAGGGTATTACAGAATCGTGGAGCAGCAATGCAGAAATACTTTTTTTTACCAAACTAAGTTTTAGCAAATGGTATTTTTAGTGGGAATTAAGGAGGCATTTATCAGGCTATGCGAGGGCATTAGAGGAACTAAGTGGGCCTTTAGGTAATTGGCAGATTTGTTTAGGAGAACCTTTAGGATGAATACAGCCCAGTGACGGTCCCTCTGGATATCCATGGGTGACAGATTTAAGTTAGTGTACCGGTTGTAACGATGAGTTCTATGGGGGGCAACGTCAAGGGCAAAACGAAGAGTGGAGTGGTACAATGGAGCGAGACGTTTTAAGGTTAAGAAGCTAGGTGGTAGATGGTGTCACAATAATCAAATATGGGCAAAATTGTGGCTTTTACTATATTCAGATGGAGTCGATGTAGGAACACAACATTTGTTTCTGCAGTGGCCTTTCATGTCGATGGGGAACTGAAATTTGAGCTGACATTTGGTGCACCCCAAATCTTTCATGAATCCAGGGTTTATGGAGCCGATTAGTCCCTTAAGATGTTTTCTTTATTCTGGTTACGCCTAACGCCACCGCTGTGTGCGACTGTCGTTGTTAAGAGTTTAGGAATGGCTAGGGGTCACACACAAAAAAACCAGCCACCGTCTCTTATTTGAAACGTGGGGTGGTGGTTGGCCTGGCTGCCGCTCTCCCCACCGCGTGAATATACAAGTTGAGCCCCACCAGGTGTTTGATTTTTTGCAATAAGCGTCGCTCAACCGATTTATGCCCCGAACGATTTATAGCCGGACGAAATAAACCTTGCCAACTTAAATGTGGGTAAGTAGGAAATGAACCGGAAGCCCATTATTACTGCGTTAAATCATGGGCACGGATATTCACTAGCAATGTAATGAATAGAGGGGCTGGTAAGGCAGCCACATAGTGTTGTGGCTGCAGTAGAATTATGGTAAAGCTTGGGCATATCCTTACCAAAACATCACTCTTTAGGGAACCCAAACACAATTTGTTTAGTCTCAATTTGAAAGTATTTAAAACTCTGCTAAATGTCCAGCCTCCCCATGAGGATGCCTTTTATTTCGAAAGATTTTCTGTTATTTTAAAATATGGCATATTTATGGGTCTCTCAAAGATCTACACATGTGGAAGATTATAAGATGGTGACCACTCTCGGGCAAGAATGAGCACTCTGGCAACATCCGAAGGGTATTACTGTGTGTGTGGCTCAAGGTGTCTCCCCATTGCGAAGTCACTCAGAGATGCATGCACCTGCCTCTGCGCAGTGTACCTACCCTAGAGCTCATAATGCTCGCTGTGAGTTACTGTGGAGCATTATGGTCAAAAGCATATATAAGCAAAACTCAATTCTCAGTCTCCACATATACATGCACATAAAACATTTATTCAGTACATTGTCCTATTGGCTTTCCAGACTAAAATTATCCATCTACATACATTTAACAAGCCTGGCTTTGCTGATGAGACCCAGACGGTTAGAACAGGCCCAGAGTTTGCTTTGCTGATATATGAATTTAACCATAATGCTCCACAGCCACTCACAGCGAGTGTTTATAATATTGCTTTTTGAGTTGTACAGGTCCCCATAGTTTAGATGGAATATTCTTGCAAAAAACATTTGTTAACCCAACATTTGTTGCATTAGCCATATCTGTTTTGAATTGTTGCTTTTGTCTCCTGTATTATTATTAATAATCATCAATGTGGGGAGTAGAACAGTTATGCAGCAATACAAGCACTGTGCTATGAACTCACTCTAACCAGAGTTGGAATCCCAGTCATGGCTAACATCAGTGGCGATATCTGAACCGGTCCTGTGCACCTCCCTTTACCATCCTGCACTGACCAGCATGGTGAAGTATGGTCAACACAACCCCCATGACTACTCACACAGCATTGGAGGAGGCCTACATACAGCAGTGGATGAACCCTCATTTATATTTACCATTAAAACAATAATGTATTAACATTAAACACTGTCCACCCAGCAGTAAAAATGGGTGGACCACAGTCAGTCGATCTGCAGGTCAAGTGTTGCGAGGTCACAGTGTGGTGGATACTCCCATCTCTTCCAGGATGTCTGGCCAGCGTGGAAGAGTAGACCAAATACACTCTAGAGAGCAGCTTTCTAGAGCTCCCTCTTCATGGAGGCCCTTCTGCCAGCAGTGGCAGGGCTTGCATCTGTAGTTCAGTAAACAGACGACTGACTTCATTCTGAATGGCGTGCGCGCGCGCGTTGTGTGTGGATGTGCAGCAGGGGAAGAGCCGAAAGAAGCGCAGCGAAGAGGCCAACACGGTGCGCTACAGCAAGATGATGAGGAACAGCCTCTTCCAGCTCATGATGTACACGCTGGACCCTCTGGGCGATGGTGAGGTGCCCAAGCGGGCCACGACAAAAGCTCGCACACACTTCGCCCGCAGAGCCTCCGTGGCCGTGCCGGGCTAACTTCACGGAGTGGCCACACACACACAAACAAAAACCACAGAGGGGACGCACTTCTCGTGTGTGTGTGTGTGTGTGCGCGCGGCCGTGTTCTCGCTTCTCAAATCCCCCGCAAGCACAAAATATGCAGGTTCAAGAGTGCAAGCCGAGAAAGAAGCTCGTGTGTTAAAAATTAGCGGTGTGTACCTAAGTATAAAAACTAAAACTACACAAGTTGAAACCTTGACATGTCATTCTTTTTTTTTAGGTCCTTCAGCCAACAGAAGACTTGTGTTCTATGTGTATGTCATGCTTCACCCCATCCATGCATTCAGTCACCCTTTGTCTGTACGTTTCCCTGTCTGTCTGTCTGTCTGTTTGACAAAGCTTTAGGATTACGTATGTATGTTGAACTTCTTTCGCACCCGTACGTGGCCAACCGTGCTACACGCGCAAAGAAGGGGTGATATTGTGCCGACCCTCGATGCACAAACGCAGCTGTGAACGTGGCCTCGGGCCAAGCTGTGTTACGTGCCGGGAGCACACGTGCCCTTTGAGAACCTTTAGCTTTGCCATGTGTCATCGTTACAGAAATCCGAGGGACCGCCGCCAATGAGAAGTTCTATGACTCAATCGCAAAAGAAGGTAATTGCAGGCGCATTCCGCCAGTTGCATGACATTCGGAAGGTCCATTAAAGATCAGCCCCCTCCATCACGATGCCAGTGCCTCCTAAATAGGCACAGCATGTGCGCAAATGTCACTGTAAATACTGAAATAGACTTAACAAATGTGCCCCCCACCTTTGCATGAACATGCTATTTTCACCGATTTTGGACAGGGACCCGCTTTTTTGTATGCGCCATAGCTTACCGCAACTTAGCGCAAATGTTTTTTGCTGAACTTAACAAATAAAAAGATTCGTCCCCTCGTTGCCTACTGCATACGTACACGCATGTGTGTGTAAAAAGTATACATACGTGTATGTATATATATATACACGTGTATGCTACATTCATGTCCTTGTGTGGACAACTGTACATGTGTACGTGTAAAATTATGACTTCTTGTTGCCATTCACTGTGATGATGTTTCTGAGCATCCTCGGGTTTAATTTCACTCCTTTCCAACCCTGCAGGGTTTCCGCCTGTTCCCACTCATTCACGTGAAAGCGTTTGACATTTTTTTGCCCCATTAGGTTCTGTATGGAAATGTCTAAAATGTGCTCTGGCTGCGTTTGATCCCACAGTGAGTGTTGACGTACAGAGGTGTGCATCGTTGTGCGCTTTTGCAGGGCTTTTGATTTTTGTTCCCAAATCTCCTGTCTTTCCATCTTATTCCTATTATTTGCTATTTGCTATTACAAATATTATTATTACGATTTGAGCGGTTGGAAATGTTTTCCTGGTATGTTTATTTTATGCATTGTGTTTATGAGTTTCACGTTTATGTCTTTCATTTTGTTTCATTTTCTTTTTAGATTTCTGTTTATGTTTTTCAAAACCACTAACATCAAACATTACCAAAAGGTATGTGTTATCTTCTAACGTTGTCATGGAAGTTTGGAAATTCTTATTGCAGCTCTGTGCAACATCGTTGATTGTATTTAAACTTGACTTTAAATTGTCTTTAAACTGGAATATGATTATCCCCATGTAATTCTAAACACAGTATATTGTTCATAATCCTTTAAAACCTAAGCTTTGCGAAAAAAAGAGAGATTTCAAACATATGCTTTTAAATGTGTATATGCCCATATATATTTTTAAGCTTGACTCTGTACAATACTATTCTTGTCACGAACAAGCATCTATAAAAAAAAAACTTAAATGCATAAAAAGTGCCATGGTATAATGGTTAGCACAAGAGACTTACAATCCAGAGGTCTCGTGTTCGATTCCAGAAGTCCTCGGTGCAGGCACGGCAGTTGAAAGAACAGGAAAGTCACGTAGGTAAAAACATTAAAAAGTAAAATAAAATAAAAATCACGACGTTTCGGAGGCAACACAAGCTTCCGTCTGCAGGTGGTACCGTCACAGCCACGACAGCTGTATCAAGTAAATAGTTTTTTTTATTTTACTTTTTAATGTTTTTACCTACGTGACTTTACCGAAAAAAACCTAAGAATATGAATCATTGCAGTCACGAAAGCTTCAAATCTAGAAAGAACAGGAAAGTTTCTCAAATCCTTTTCCTACAGCAGCGTAAATGGGCACACGCCACAGTGAGTCGACTGGCGGGTCAGATGTGGTCGAGTAAAGTGCACTCACGCCTTTCAACATTTCAACGTGGAAGAGTAGGCCAAATACCCAATAGAGTTTGCTCGAGTGGAAACGCTGCCACCAACAGTGGCACGAGCAAGCGATGACAGGGCCGCACAATCTGCCTTGTTTAATGCGGCAAAAGCACTTTACAGCATGGAAGAGCGACCGTCAAGTTTTTGGTAAGGAAAGTGTCGAGTGGCAGCGCAAGTGCTTACGTGGTACAACCGTCCGGCTGGACATTTCCGACGTATTGTGACATGCTGAAATACACACGGGTTGTGTAAGTGGAGATAAATCCACGTGAGAAAAAATAGAAATACCTTACATTGCAACCGAATGTGCACCCGGAGTTACCTGCAACATTTGTAGCACGTGACTTTTTAAAATCACACAGTTGCAACATAAATAGTGCACGCTTCAATTTGACGCATTTTTGACAGAATGACGTGAAAAATTGCGCCATTGATGGTGTAGGTCATTCATCGATGGGGCGGTGAACTGGCGGTAGCGCGTTCGCCGCTTGTTGCAGAGGTTCGTGGTTCGGATGCAGTGGCCGCCCCACCAAATACTTGTGGGTATTGTAACCGTGTCATCTGCTTCACGGTGAATGTTAAAGATCCCATGACACCATTCACAAGAGTAGGCCATTGGGCGCTGGCAACAACAGTCCAAATTCGCCAGATTTGAAAGATTACCAGCAAATTACTCAATTGGACTATACATTGTAATCATCAGCCCCTCTTAAGTGAAAACTTGGCAGGACCCTCCTGAAAATGAGTCAGTACACTTAGTGAAGCTATCCTGGGTAAACATAATTATTTACATTTTTTGCCCAAAATAATCGGAATCGTCAGAAGCCCGGCAAAAAATGAATTCCATATAAAACCAAAAGTGAAAACGCACTGATCATCTGTGACTGAGCGAGTCCAGTTGTGTCGTAATACCTCGCTCTGCCCCTCCTCCTCTACGTGCATGTGGATAGGTGTAGTGAAAATGTCACGTGTCCTCAAGCGTCAAAGTGGGCCACACGATGTTGATCACGTACACCGGAGTTGTATGAATATGGGTGCAACTTACGTCACGGACTTTTGACGTAAAAAAACGATTCAAGAAGGAAAGAGAAATATAATTATTATACCTTTATGTTTGGTTAGCTCACTTTTTACAGTTGCTCTTGAACAAGAATTACGAGATGCTTTTTGGAAATGTATTTCGTATCAACGTTCTGTTTTATTGGCTGTGCAAAAAAAAAAACTTCGCCCGCCCTGAAACAATTACTTTTTTGGATCAATGTCTGTCTCACAATACCTATTGGCTGATCTCATGTCGAACTCTCTGGTTGTTCTTCTGCTATTTTGTCTCCTCTCTCGGGCCTTTCACTCAATTGCATTTGAATTGGGATATGAGATGTATCTGTCAATACAGCACTAACAGCCCCAGTGACTTCCTGTTTAGCAACATAAATTACCAATGGTGCAAGTTCAGTCTTTTTGTAAATGTTCCTTTCGTACAAACGTATGCATTAAGAATTCAAGGACGCGGAGGTGCGGTGTATTGCTTAGTGCTGTATATGTAAGCCCATCGATGGACACATTTTACCGTAGAGTATTGACATAAAAAAGAATAATAGCCGATGGCATTTTTTTACACATCTACGAGGTGATGCCAACTCAGCCACTCTGTCTCCCTGCCAACTCAGTACGGCGTATCGATTGTTCCCGCAAATCACAGCCCATTGTTGTATTTAAAATCAAAAGGTACTTGAAAATAACTTGTGATTTACGAACCTGTAAAACATTTTAACAGCGTGTGCACAGCATGTATTACCAAAAGTATATATTTGAAAACTAAATATAAAGGATGTGTTGTTTATTGAAAGGAACAAAAACACTATCAACACAAAATTATTGTACGAATTACGACTGGGCAAACGTCTTGCTTCTGTAGTATATGTTTTAGCTTTCCTACAGTACAGTTAAATAGTCGAATTCCTCTTATCCATAGCGATGTGGAGGACGAACATCGTGGACACTGTTATTTACTATGTCAACTGCACATTTATTCCATTTATCCATGACAGAAAATCGTGGAAAACAATAATTGAGATGCAAAATTGTAGGGAGTTTTTCAGAAATCCTACAGCTGCTGTGGATAATAGGAGTTGCGGGCAATGAAATAGATCAACCGTGTTCCTCTTTAGTCAAGTTTTCTTTCTCCGATAAAGCTTTCTCCCCAACTTAGAGAAGTCCCAAAGCCGTTAAGCGTCACAGCATCGCTCCGCCCTCTCTTTTTCCCACGTGCCTGTCTGTCCAAGTGCGGGAGCGGTGGCGCAGAGGTTAGCGCGCCACGTGACGAACCCGGCGAACCGAGTTCAATTCTCACGGCCAACAACAACAGTGGCGATTATCCGCACCGGTCCCGGTCCTGGGCCTTCCTCCCCTAGGTCGACTCAGCCTCGAATGAGGACTTGGTGCAGTGTGTAAACATCGCCACTGGGGAGACAAAAGCGGTCGGGCGTGGTGCTGGCCACTCACCCCCTCGTGTGCCGCGCTGGCCTTGTATGTATATTGAACTTCTTTCGCATCGTACGTAGCCAAGCGTGCTAATCCAAGGGTCTTGGATGATCGCTAACATCACTTTCCCCCCAAAAAAGTCTGTTCAGGCTATACGGGGGATATTTGTGCCAGTGTACCCATGCGTGGCCGACTGTTGCTGCTGTGTATGTCCCCAGCACGCATGCAGGAGCAGCAGCAGACAGCAGCGGTCGTCGCTGTAGCAAAGAAAGAGGCCAAGAAAAGAACAAGAGGGTGTCCACCAGCCCCGCTGAACCGTCACCGATCACACGTGAGCCACAGCTCAGTTCTCTTGACAGCTACTCCCACGTGGTTTTCGGCTCGTTCGGCACGGTGCCCAACGTTTTGCCCCGCTTGCTGCGAGCATTCCTTTATGAGGGGCTGCATTTTTAAATTTCTGCAGAAGCCTTCCCGCCCACAGGCACGTGGTGCTCTGAAGCTGAATTTGAGCTTCTTCAAGAAATGTCGGTGACGCTCGTCCGGTGAAACGTCGACAACGAAGTGCAATGGCGCGTTTTTTTATATCCAGCAGGCGGTTGACCACTCACAGAGCAGCCAACTCATATTGTGACGCTAATGAAATCACTTACAATTGATCAACGGCCATGATTCACTGACACCAGGGGGGCATTTGGGCAGATCAGAGATGATGGATGGACACCGCAGAGACAACAGCAATTGTAATCACCATGCTGGATGAAAGCCTCGCCAATGCCGTTACCATCTCTCACGATCCAACTACCACCAGCACACCATCTGATTGCATCGCTCCGTCTCTCATATTTGACCTCTGAGACGCATTAAATTCCTTGGCTGCCAGAAATGTAATTGTTGCTATTTTATTTGGAACATAATAATAAAACATATCCATAAGAGTTTTTTTTAGGTGAGATCACGTAAATGTAAATATAAATGTGTTATTTAACCCTCCACCACCCGACAGCCAATTAGTAAGGTTTGTCACAAAAACAAAACATGCCAATTATGGATAATATTGGTCGCGAAAGCCTACGTGTTGAAATAACATTCATGTTAAACAGCATCTTCGATCCCCAGCTCCCTCGCCCCTCTTCCCCATCCCCTCTCTCCCCTTTCATGTTGGTTATCTTCCCCCTCACCTTTCACCCCATATAAACTTTCACTTCTCTGCTAAGATGCCCCCCACTTTGGTGTAGCAGTCATCCCAATCTACCCACCCCCCTTCACGTGATAAGCCGCTTCGTTGAGCTATAGATTTGAGTCCAGGTCACTTCGGAAAAATAGCTATACAAGTTCAGTGGGCCTTACCAAGTGAAAAAAAAAAACGTGTTTAAAAAATATAAACTTAACCCTGGGGAGCACATCAATAGACAGTCCTTATCAAATGCATCATCTGCGTCTGGTTTATCAGTAGGGGAGAATGAAGCCAACGTGGACAGCCCGGGCCTGACCTCGCCTGCCCAAGAGACAATCTCTCCAAGCAACAAACCCAACGGCAGTGCTGCCCCACAGAAGATCGACGCTGCCAATGGTGCAAGCCAGGTGGGTTCAGGAGCAACCTGTACACACGGTATACAAGTAGGAATGCCACCACTACTGGATTTGCCAGCATTGGCCTATTTTTTGCGGTAGCTATCCTGGGAAATCCATTTTTCTAGGACATTAAAAGTCCCATCCTTTGTCAATTATGAAATAACATATCACTCAAAACATTGCATCCTAAACTAAAACTAGACTTCTTATTTTACCAGATAAGTCCTGCTGAACTATATACATGTAGATATGTTTTAGAATCTACCTGGCCACAAATGATAGCTCAACGAAGTGGCTTATCATGTGGAAATTTATAGCAGCCAAATACTCTAAACACATCCTTTTAAATGTGGAGGAAAAAACCAGAGGACCTGGAGAAAAATCCATGTGATCACGGGGAAAACATGAAATCTCCAAATATACAACAGGCATCAGGGTCGAGATTGAACCCATGACCTCCTGCATACCAGTTGACATCTCGTCATCCTACTTTAGATTGAAAACTGTCTTTACAACTGCTTTTGGTATTTAGTTTATCCTTCCCCGCACCTCTGGTTAGCCCTCTTGGCTACTTACGATGCGAAAGAAGTTCAACATACATATCTACATGATTGTCGGTCTGCCATGACTCGCTTCACAGCACTGACCGCTGCTTTTCTCTGACAACAGTCGGTCGATGACGCGAGTGACGAGAAGGAAGAGGAGGAGGAGAAGCCCTTGAGCATGCGGTGGCCGGAATCGACCAAGAAGCAAATCTCTTATGTCTTCTTACTGCCGCTGGTCCTGCCTCTCTGGATCACCCTGCCTGACGTCCGCAATCACGTACGTTTCCCTCATTCACAACGAACGATTCGAATGGATGCAGCATGGCGCGGGTGGCCCCACGAGCCACAAACTAAAACATTCGTATCGTCAAGAGCTGTACAAGACGCTACGGTGGCAAGATGTTAATTACCTCGCCTGGTATATAGTAGGTTGTGGGTTCGATCCCGACACCTGTATATTTGGAGTTTGCATGTACTCCTCATGGTTGCATGGATTTGTCTCCGGGTCCTCCGGTTTTCCCCTCCATATTTAGAAACATGCGTTTAAAGTGTTGTATTTGGCTGTTTTAAATGTCCACGTGGTGAGCCACTTCGTTAAGCTATCATTTATGGCCAGGTCGCTTCTGAAAAAAGAGCTGTATTGCTCAGTGGGCCTTACCTGGTAAAATAAAGAAAAATAGTTTAGTTTCATAGTTTAGTATGTATGTATGCTGAACTTCTTTCGCGTCGTATGTAGCCAACCGTGCTAATTGGAGGAGCGGGGTGATGACACGGCCAGTTGGCTCAAACTGGTCAGTTGTGAAGTATTGAACTTAGACATATGCGAGAGAGCAGTCCCACCATGAGTGCTCAGGTCTGACTCCGCTGCCAGAAGCGACTGTTCCAGGCCGCTGCCACTTCCGCATTTTTTTTAATGAGAAGTAAAATATAAGCTGCATATTCTTTTTCTTCAGAGGCCCATATGACCCGGGAGCCGTGTGTGGCTCTCAATGTGGTTTGGCCACCCCCCGTTTATAGCATTGAAATATATCAGTGTCTAACTGATGTGGCTGTCATGGCTTCTTACCCAAAAGGCCAATAGATCGAGTGAAATAGATGAAGAATAATCAGATGAGTGACTGAAAATTAATGTACTACATTGTGTCCCGGAGCGAGTGAGATGACTCTACGTCTGTCATTCTATTCCTGCCAGCGCTCCAAAAGGTTCTTCATGGTCACCTTCTTCGGCTCCATCCTTTGGATCGCCATTTTCTCCTACCTCATGGTGTGGTGGGCTCACCAGGTGACTTCACAGCAACCACGAGTGCTAGATCTTCCACGTCTCCAAGTTCACGGCCAAACAATAATTTGTCGGTTTTCTGAGATCTTGCGAGCTGCAAATTATTATATTACGCATTTATTTAGTGACATAAAGCTTTATTTATTTATTTATTTGCTGGCTGCCAGAATATAAATTCCTCATTGTCTGCACAAGTAGGCATTCTTATTATGAATGCCATAGGCTCATCAATTTCGACTTAAATTGATTATTTTGCTCATAATACATGCAATGGAATCATGCGTTTAAGAACAGATGATTTACTACTTATGCAAATCACATGTTAATCTTAAATTTAGATGAATGGGGTGAAGGAGAGCTGTACAAAGAAAGAGCAAATTAGAAACAATACAAAATGAGACAGAGAGAGAATTGCATGGAATCACAATCATTAAATTGTGATCATTCCATACCGAATGGTAAAGTTCCAGGTTTGTGTCAGTGCAGGTTTCACTTTAAAACAAGACATTTGTTTGGAACAACATGTTCGAGTCATCTGCTTACAAACCTCTCCAGTGGACCCAGCTGATGTCACGCACTCATGAACGCCATGAAACCACAATGTAGCTCTTGTGCCTTTACCTTTCCATACAACGTTGTGACGCCATGCGTAACGTCGCAAACTTCCTTCGCTTCAAGGTGACCGAGTGGCTAAGAGGTGACAATAACCAATGATGTTTCAACATTACGCATTATGGACATTGCAGTGTCGGCTGTATCCTACGAAGCAGAGTTTGGCATCTTAAAACCATACCTTGGCGGTGGGAGTGACCGAGGCAGAGCATGATGCCGTGTGCCTCCGACTGATGCCGTGAACGCCCCCGTTACGAGCGCAGGTTGGGGAGACCATTGGCATCACGGAGGAGATCATGGGGCTGACGATCCTGGCGGCGGGCACCTCCATCCCTGACCTCATCACCAGCGTCATCGTCGCTCGCAAGGGACTGGGCGACATGGCCGTCTCCAGCTCTGTGGGCAGCAACATCTTTGACATCACCGTGGGGTGAGAGAGTATCACACCGCATTGCCACTTTCATCAAAACATATCACCGCCTTCATTAAACCCTCTACGATGGGTTTTGTGATTGTATCGCGTGTTGTTCAGCACAATGTACAACATTGTTCTTCACACACTTGGAACTGAACAAGAAGCCGGCATGTGGAGCGAAACGTCGGACATGGTGATGAAAAACACGTGGAGTAACCCGTAAACCCATGGAAGAGAGCTACAGAGCACAACTGAAAAAACCTACCCAGTATTATTTACTAAATACTGTGAAAATTTGCCTAAGATGCTGAAGTTATGTTTCCAGCTTGATGATATGGTAATTAGTTTTGGTCTTTTTGTTACTTCAAAATGTAGTGAACAAGTTTGTTTGGTGCTTTGGATTTAAATCTGAGCTGTTACTGTTAATAATTTTTGGTTCTGAAGTGTCGTGGGATTATGGGCTCAGCCTAGTCACGAAGTTTTTGCTGAAAAAAAACATAACATCACATTTTTCACTTAATGTTACTAAATTACATCTCTCAGACTTCAATTGACACGTGATGAAAATTACATTCAGAATGTTATGAGGTGTGTCCCCAAATGTGGATAAATAGGCCTTTTGAAGTGTCTTTAGAACAAGTGATGTCATGTCATCATCTTGGGGTTGTTCTCTGACATGGGGTGCTGCGGTGTTACAACAATATACAACACCAAGTTTTCCTAGGTGCTCTCATGTATAAGTTAATACATTTTCATAGGGTCGGAGCCCCCTTTTGCATGTTCATTTGAAATAATATAACGGATTGGGAAGATAGAAATAATGCGTATTGAGAAATAGTCGAAGGGAGTTGCAAATTCAATGCCACGTATGGATTTCTGTTCAACTATGTGTACACCGCACAAACGCAGAGATATAGCTGCACAAATATTAAAGACTGCTGCCCTTCGGCTTTTATGAACCATATTAGGCATCAGAGGTAAATACTACAGGCAGGCAGAGAACATGCTGTTGTCACAGACCCGGATTTTCAGTGTTCCATCAATCGATTTCAGTCAGCAAAGAGCTACTTTACTGGACATATATAAATCTGACCATGTCAGGCTCTTATGATCTAAATATCAGGGTATCATCTATTTTTTCAAAATGAATGCATCGTTTAAACTATACTTGTAAGCATCCTATAACTTCCGCATCGCACATTGTCAGCAGTCCTCAAGTTGCAAAAATGTTGCCTTTGTCCAGAAGACCATAAATGCATCCATACTAGTAACAACTTGGCATGTTTCGTTTCTGTGACAAACCTTACTAATTGGCTGTGTCGGGTGGTGGCGGGTTTAACGGCACATTTATGTCTACGCGATCTAACCCAATATTATGTATAATATTGCTCGTGAGAGCCTACGTGTTAATTACGGTATTGTCAGTCATTACATTGGGTATCGTCCCCATCGTCCGTTGTGCTCATACTGGTGGTGGTGGCGGTGTGTTTGGGCCACGTGGTGCGCAGGCTGCCAATGCCCTGGCTCATGTTCTCGCTGGTGAAGGGCTTTGCACCGGTGCAGGTGAGCAGCAATGGCCTCTTCTGCGCTATCGTGCTGCTCTTCCTCATGCTCCTCTTCGTGATCCTCACCATCGCCGCGTGCCGCTGGCACATGAACAAGCTGCTGGGATTCTCCATGTTCCTGCTTTACTTTGTGTTCCTTATCATCAGCGTCATGCTGGAGACTCGAACCCTGCACTGCCCGGTTACCATATGAGCTCCCCAGGCATCCCAGCCTCTGTGCCCGCCTTGAGGAGATAAAAGTCTCCGGCCGGTGTTCTGGAGATTCCTTTCTCAACCCGATCTTTGAAAAGGTCTCGTCATGTGAAGGTGTCCAGAGAGCATCGCTGCTGAATGATCCACGGGGTGCATCTGCGTCCATCAAAACACCCGAGAAATAAGACCTCTGCTTCAAGAACTACCTTCCGAGCAACATCATTTTGTCACCGATGGACAACCTGGATGTTCCATCTTGATTTCAGTTGCCTACCAGCTATCATCACCAAATCAACCTCCATCACCAATGGCACGGACTGGGAGTGAATGGAGAGCAGAAGAAACAAAAAAATGCATGAAGGCAGAAGGATCAAATGAGGTGTACAAATGTCATAACGTGAAACTGATTGACCAACGCTGTTTGCTTTTGTCTGCTGCTGCTGCTTAGGAAGTTGAACACGGGGAGCTTTTGCAATTGCTTCATGTTGCACAAGACGATGTTTTTAAATCAACTTACAAACTATCGGAGAGAGAGAACATGCGCACTGAGGTGGCGTTATGCTATGACACGAGCTCACGCAGCATGGATCGTCCGAGCTCGAACTGATCCGTTTCCATTATGACCCGAAACCTCATCAAGTCCATTGGTGTTCGACGTGCAATGATTGGTAACATGCTGATAATTCATCTTGTAGTTTCAGGGGCATCACAATACAATGCGGGTGTACCACTTCTTATCAGTACGTAGTCACGCAGGTTAGAGAAACAATGCCCAACCATGTATCAAACGTCATACTCCCAGCTCTTACGTTAACACAGGAATGGAATGCACATGTCTTTTTTGAAGTGGCATAAACCACCGATGATGCTAGATTTCTCTTGCGGGTCGAGGCACAGTTGCATGAGGAATCATACCCGGGGGTATTCCTACGGCGTTAGCTCGTAAGTCCAGTACACATTGCAACTCGCTGTTGATGTCGATGCAAGTGTCGGCACACAGAGCCTGTGCACACAAACGCATTCTGCAGCATCCCCAGAAAAAAAAAAGCTAAATTCGCTCGGAGGGGCAACGCCACTTGAGTGCGTCTCAAAGCTGGCGACGTGTGCGTGGCAATAACACACAACACACCTTACCGAGTCCGGAGTTCTATGGTAAAGGATGACAATCGATGTGGACAAAACCGAAACGGCTAACGGGTGTCCTTCACTTTGTTTCAAATTAACACACTTGCACTTAAACGAGATGTGGGAATGTCTTGCAGTGTTTACAGCATGTTGGCGACAGCGTTTCCTTTGAAGCCGATCTTTGTCAGTTTCAACCACGACTCTGCGCGCATTGGTCCCTCTGGGATGGGAGTGTCGTGTCAGAAGGCCACCAGCAGCACGGACTCTGTGCACAGGATCTCGTTTCGTCGCCGTCGACACACAGGGCGAAATTGAAATTTGCATGTGCGCTCGGCTTAGGGAGACAAATTCTGCCGCGTACGAAGCGTGTCAAAAAAAATAGATGACATTGCATGCCAGCTTTCTATTCCTACTTTAGTGTAATGGGACTTAAAGAGTTAGCATCTTCGGACATTGTATTCATCAGAAGGCTTAATTGAAAACTCAATCAACACTATATATGCATGATAGTTGCCTTGCTGTGAGACAGTGAACATTCATATAAATGTTTATTGTTGTTGGTTCCTTTTTTTTTCTTTCTTCAGAATGGAACATGTCCCTGTTGTTGTTGTTGTTGTGGGAGTGTGCTGTCCACGTCTGCTGATGCCACCTAAGGGTGACTGTAGGCGTCCATTCGACACGAAGTTGTTAACGGTACTCTCCGTCGTGGTGAATGACCTTTCGTGTGTCACGTTGTCTCTGCGTTCCTTCGCGAGACTCAATCTTGAAGTCTGAGCATCGCCATCGAATCACCTGCTTGTCTATGTGGAAGGTTATCGTGATTCGTCTTCTTTACCCCAAAGCACCAAAATATTTTCAACCAAAAAGGAAATACCACACACATGGCAAGTCAAGATGCAGAGGAGTTATCATTGCCTTTCATGTTTAGAAACGGACTATTATTATTGCAGTCATAAGTTAGATTGTAAAAGTCACATTGCACTTTTTGAATGTGGATTCAACTCCTGTATTTCGCTCGACGTTTCTTTTTTACTCATGCTATACTTTCAGAAGACACTGCTGTATTCTGCTCACGATGAATGTAAGGAGTCTGCATGGGGAAGGCTGGAGGGGAACGGTGGGGGGGGGGGGAGTTGTCGTTATCTGCTGAGAGAAAATTCACCTTTCCATCATTTACAAAACTTATCGACTTTTATTTACACTCCACAGGTTGTTTGCCTCGCATCACATTTCACAGAGGCAACCATAAAATATCCATATATATCGCTGCAAAGACTTGAACATCCTATACCTGCTTGGCTCGTTGCTCCACCATAACCTGTGCTTGAAGTCTTGTATGCGCGAGGCCTACTTGTCCTAGTGCGGTCACTGTCTAATGTGGTATGATGCCAGCCAAAGTTGCGTGAGTGTGCAATTGTGCATGTTTTTGCTTTTACATGTAAATCTCCCTCTACCACAACGGGAGGGTGGGGTAGAGAGATGCTATTTAACTCAGAAATGTAAAACGATATGCTGCGTAGCTCAAAGTACAATTTACAGTTGTAGTAGTAGTAACCAGCCTTATTTGTTTAACGGACCACTTCCAATAATATATCAGTCAGTATTGCCATGAAAAATATACATACTATACCATCCTAAACATACAATGTTTGTGTGTAACAAATATCCCCTCCCTCCGCCTCCTTTGAAATAATTGCGTCAAAATGTGTTCAGACACTGGTGTCTCTCTACCCCGGTGTCATGGTCCATGAGCGAGAGCAGATAAGAAACTTGAACAAAAGAAGACTTTCCGACGTGTAAAAACACGTTTCAAGATACTGTAAGTTGAAGCATGATTAATCCACTCGGCAATTCAGGTTACAACCCAACGTCGCCCGTGCGTTGGCTGCATGTAAACATCCAAAAAACGTTTCCTGGCCTGCTAGCTAACTAACTAGTTAACTCGCTAATTAACTAGCTAACTAGCTAACTAACTAGTTAACTAGCTAACTAACTAATCAACTAGCTAACTAACTAGTTAACTAGCTAACTAACTAATCAACTAGCTGACTAACTAGCTAATTAACTAGTTAACTAGCTAACTAACTAGTTAACTCGCTAACTAACTAGTTAACTCGCTAACTAACTAGTTAACTAGCTAACTAACTAATCAACTAGCTGACTAACTAGCTAATTAACTAGTTAACTCGCTAACTAACTAGTTAACTCGCTAACTAACTAGTTAACTAGCTAACTAACTAATCAACTAGCTGACTAACTAGCTAATTAACTAGTTAACTCGCTAACTAACTAGTTAACTCGCTAACTAACTAGTTAACTAGCTAACTAACTAATCAACTAGCTGACTAACTAGCTAATTAACTAGTTAACTCGCTAACTAACTAGTTAACTCGCTAACTAACTAGTTAACTAGCTAACTAACTAGTTAACTAGCTAACTAACTAATCAACTAGCTGACTAACTAGCTAATTAACTAGTTAACTAGCTAACTAATCAACTAGCTGACTAACTAACTAGTTAACTAGCTAACTAACTAGTTAACTAGCTAACTAACTAATCAACTAGCTGACTAACTAGCTAATTAACTAGTTAACTAGCTAACTAGCTGGCTGTCTGCAAACAGAACAGTTCTGGCGTTGCACGTTTACTGGAGCATCAGCCGTCCCCGCAATTAAATGTTGTATCTGCGCCACTTCTTGTCAAATACTCCGCGGGATATGGCAAGAACCCAATCATCAGTGGGTTTGTTTCTCTATTGTTGGGTTTTAGGTCATTGCTGCTGTTGCTGCTGCTGCTGCTTATTGCTGCTGTGCGGGTTGCAGTGTGCGTCGCAGGCATGTTTGGTACGCGAGGTGACCAGAATGTGAATGGCGTTTGTCGGGATAGAGAGGCTGAAATGGCCTTTTGGCCAATGCACGTCATACATCTTGAACGTACCACTACCCGCTAGCATGGAACGTTGGACCAACGTTGGGTCCCCCCGCCCCCACCCCCCGAGTGGCCGAGCCTCGTGTAGCCAAGTGGTGTATACTTGGGTGTGCGCAAAGCGTTTTGCTTTGCGAAAAAAATGACTCTTAGGGTGCATACATTTAAAGCCTTAAGTTTGTAACTTTTAGGATAAGCGCCTAACTTGTTTCAGTTAATTTCAAAGTGAGCGTCATAGTTTAAGTAAAGCCGAACTCATGTTCACAGCGTGATGTTCTTAACGGTTCATGGTCATAAACAAAATCCGACCGCGGAAAGATGTGCTCATCGAAGACATCCTGCAAAGACTTGCAGGAGAAAAATTAAACCACTGTTTTATATGAAGCAGCAGCAACTGCTGCTGCGGCTACCCTTTGCTTGTATCTCATACTATTTGGCACAGATAATGACCCAGCAAACATGGAAACGTCGAGCCAACGTTGGCCAAAACAGTCCCAACCGCAGTCTCACGTTGACCCCAACGTTCCACGTTCACTGGGGAGACGGCTGATATCGCCCATGGGGGGCTTAAGACACCATGTATGACAGTGGCATGTCAGTGGTGTTGTATATACACATTGAAGATTGACCGATACCTTTGGCCAATTGACACGGCATGCAATGAGCATTCAAAGTCCCTGAGAAAAGGTCAATGCAGAAACAAATCTTTGGTGTACAACGGAATTTAATTTAGGCAGTGGTGGTTGTTTTAGTCATCCAGGCAAGGTATTGGTCAATCGCAAGATACGTTATACTGTACTTAATTGTATTGCACTGTATACATTAGAAACTAGTGTATTAGCCCGTGTAGTTAGCCGTTTGAAGACAAATACTTAAATATATAATGTATGTATGTATACACAATGATATTTTTACCAGATTCTAAGCAATATGGTTGTATTTATAGCAAAGTTATCTGTTGTGTGTTCGTTCAGTTTCGAGTCAATGGGAAAAAATAGATCGCATTGGACGCATTATCTTGAGCCCAAGGAATGTTTAAAAATCACCAGACCCAAAATGACGTTGCTGGTTTCGACATTGTGCGAGGAACATTTGCGACGGGTTCATGCCCACGTTGATACCACCAGTGGCAGCTGGTGGGAATGTATGTTGGTGAAACGAGGAAGTTCAAGGCTTAGGTGCTGCGGTGTGAAATGTGTCTTATGTTAATAAGTTAAACCAAGATTGTTGCCCAGCAAGGCTCTGGCAGGCAAGTGTCTCGGGCTGGTGTTCCCCATTATTGGCCAGAAGAAGAAAAAAACACATCAACCGATAAATCGTCCCGATCTGCTCTGTTAATGCAAAGCTGCGTACCGTGCTGAAAGACGTTCAACATACATACAAACCAAGCGCAGTTTAACGCAGCACATGCGTAAAAAAATCACACAAACAATAATAAAATCTGTAACTTACAAGAAGAACCCACGATCAAAATAGAATAATAGTGCAGGCCCCAAAAACCATAAGTTTCCAAGAACAGATACAAAACAAGTGCGGTGTGAACACGTCACTTGTACGGTGTAGGGCCGCACGCCCATGGGAAAGGTGCAAAATGACTCCCCACGTGTTTGTCAAGGTGGAGCGAGTTACAAGCAGTCGCCTTTACAGACGAGTGTAAAAAACATATGAAATAGCGTCGCAGTAAATATGGGACGACGTCGGGCCAAGGTTGGTCCAACGGTTCCAACCACATGTCAACGTTGACATGTTTACCAGGATGCAGGTGATAAGGCTTAAACATGTAGGCACAGGTAAGTAGTATAAGACTAGATTTGAAGCTTTCGTGACTGCAAGGATTCATACTCTTAGGTTCTTTCGTAAAGTCACGTAGGTGAAAAAATTATTATAATAAAATAATATTATTTCCCTTCTATGTGACTTTACTGAAAGAACCAAGAAGATGAATCACTGCAGTCACGAAAGCTTTAAATCGAAAAATAAAATAATAATAAATGATTTAATTATTTTCATTTATTATTATTTTATTATTATGTTTTTACCTACGTGACTTTACCGAAAGAAGCTAAGAGTATAGTATAAGGCTATTTTATTTCCTTCATTTTTCATTTTATTGCAGGCCCCTAGTGACCCGGCGCACGCCACTGATTGATTCGACTCATAACTCCTCATTGTCCTGGAATTCAGCAACTTCCACTCCCCAGACACGCTGTGACCACTGCATTAGCTGAACCACCACCTACACTATAGGAAACGTTATCGCGTGTTGTTGGACTATTAAAAACCACCGCGTCAGTTTTCCCATGAGAACAATTATTGTCAAGGCAAAATGGGATAGCTGCTACGTTCACAAAATCCATCCGGGATGCCCCCCCCCCCCGGCCCCCCTTGAAATGCTATGCATTTAATATTTAATGATCCCTGGAAGCGGTTAGAGTGAATATATTATTAGAGGGGTGGGTGTTAATGCTTCTACGTTTTTTTTTTACGAATGAAGCATCAGATTTTGTGTAAAAAAAACATTTACGCGACAACAATGGAGCTTTTATTTTGATTTAAAGCTTTCGTGACTGCAGGGATTCATATTCTTGGTTCTTTCGGTAAAGTCAGGTAGACGGGAAATAATAAAATAATACAAAAATAAAACAATAAAAATTCTCACGACGTTTCGACTGCAACACAAGCAATCATCATCAGGTGTGAAATCCACATTTTTCGAATTTTCTTGCTGTGGATTTCACACCTGATGATGATTGCTTGTGTTGCAGTCGAAACGTCGTGAGAATTTTTATTGTTTTATATTTTTATTATTTCCCTTCTACGTGACTTTACCGAAAGAACCAAGAATAACAATGTAGCTTCTTCTTGGTTCTTTCGGTAAAGTCATGTAGAATGGAAATAATTAAATAATAAAAATAAAACATTGTATTTAATTATTTTTATTATTAAATGAAACATAATCTTTTATTATGTTTTATTTATATTATTTTATTATTTACATTCTACGTGACTTTACCGAAAAAACCAAGAAGATGAATCCCTGCAGTCACGAAAGCTTTAAATCGAAATGTAACAATGTAGCTGTTACACTGATGTGAACTCCCACGTTGTTGCATGAAGGTAGCGTCAGCCTCACTCACTCGACGTTGCATATTGAATGATGAATGATCCGTGGCGGTCCCATACGCAATTGCAGCGAAACAAACTCCCCTTTACAAAACTATACACTCAGTGTGCCCCATAGGTCACACCCCAAGCATCGGACAATTTGAAGTATTCGAGAAAGCCGTTCCGACCCTAGCTAAAACAATGGAACACATTTTGACCCCTTTGCTGGGCTTGGTAAGAGACTCGTTGGCCGAGCGATGGCTGTTGTGACGCATCTTTGTATTGCTTCACCCTTCTCCCCCCTGTTTAATGTGCACTGCAGTACACACTAGGGTTGCCACCTCTGAGGTATACACCGGGGCATAACATGGGAATATTAATATCTCACAATACCGTAAGAGGGGGAATCCCACGTAAATGCATTGTCTTGTGCAGCTGACAAAAACCGGGTCCCGGGAACACGTAGATACCCAATAGCGGGTGATTTGGCCTACTCTGCTTTCAAGCATGCTGGCCAGACGTCTTGTCAAAGAGTGTGAGTACTCAAATTCTACTCCAGGCACCGCGTGCGACCTGTAGATGGGTGTGGGGGATTTGATAAATGTTCCAAATGTTTTCAACTGCCCCAATTTTTTCGATTTAAAGCTTTCGTGACTGCAGGGATTCATCTTCTTGGTTCTTTTGGTAAAGTCACGTAGAAGGGAAATAATAAAATAATAAAAATAAAACTTTATAAAATACAATTCTCACGACGTTTCGGCCACAACGCAAGCAGCCGTCCTCAGGTGAAGAACAGGTCTGTCAGAAAGACAGCGTCTGAAAGACGCTGTCTTTCCGACAGACCTGTTCTACGTGACTTTACCGAAAGAACCAGGAAGATGCCCCAAATTTCTTTGTGACAGGAGAAGTCCTTTATAAAGAGGACGTTCCTAGAAGAAGAAAAGCGGGCAGGTGGCAACTCTAGTAATGTACACTGGCACTGGGTATTTCTTTGACAAAGAACACTTGCTGAGGACAATAATCCGTTGTGACCCACCTCGACGCTGGTGCCGTTTGCTGTTGAGAGCTCTCCGTCTGTCTGGTGCTGGTGGGTCCCTGTAGTTCCCCATGTCTCGGCATAGCGTGCGTGCGCTTGT